TTTTAATAATTTAATATCTTAAAAATATATAAAATATATTATATATATTTTATATTTTTAATTAATATTATACATATTTTTAAAATAATAAAAAATATAAATACTAAATAAAAATTAAAAAAAATTATCGAACGAAACCAAAATCATATAATAAAGTTAATAAAATTACAGATATTGGATTCAGTCGTAATCTTTGTTAAAAGAACTTTATTCTTTAAGCTCCTTTCCCCTTTTTTTTTTTCTTTAATAATAACTTTACTACACAGGGTGTATCTTGTACGAGAAACATGCACTCGTTTCTTTTTCCTCTCATTTCTTCACTTTTTCTTTTCTGTGTTTTCTCCATTGACGAGGCGTCCAAGAAAAGGTAACAGTTTTGCAATTTTAATTTTGTGAGTTTTACAACTGATTTTTCTTCAAATCTTGGTCCTAATTTTCACGATGTTGAGTTAATTTCCTTTTACTTCAGTCCTTTTTTTTTCTTTTTTTCTTTTTCGAAACTAGCTAGCTGCGTCTGCGTTGAATTTCTTGGGTAACAAATGTTTCCTCATCTGTAAGTAACTAATTTTGCCGCTGTAACACCACTTTTCCAGAAAAGTTGACATAGAGAGAAAATTAAGCTTCAACAGGGGTGAAGGGAAGATGGGTGTGCCTTGTTTTTACAGTTGGTTGGTGAATAAGTACCCCAACATCCGAGTGAAAGCCATAGAAGAGCTTGGAGATGTTATAGACTGGAGCTCTCCAAATCCAAATGGGATCGAGTTCGATAACCTGTATCTGGATATGAATTCAATCATCTACCCCTGTTTTGGTCCTCATGATACTGTCAGCTTGCATCTTCCTTTATCATCTTATATATAGGTTAAATATCAATTTTAGTTCTTAAACTTTCAATTTTAAACATCTTAAGTTCATGAATTATTTTTTTGCATTTTTAGTCTCTAACCTTGAAAAATATATTTTTTTAGTCTTTTTATCAATTAATTTGATAAGTTTGTACATTTTTAATCTCTAGGCGTATAACTTTAGGGATTGAAAATATGTATATATTAAAAATTTAGAAATTAAAAATGTATATATTTAAACAGACTTAACAGATTAACTAATAAAAAAAATATTTTTCATATTCATAGTTTAGGGAGTAAAAATGTTCAAAATTGAAAGTTTAAGGACTAAAATCGGTATTTAACCTTTTATATATTCACTTGTATTAGCATTGAATTCATTTTCTTTCTTTTATTTTTTCCTTTTCTTTTGATCCAGCTTTCACAGGTGTTTAACAACATTTGTGAGGACGTTGATCTTCTTTTCAGCATTGTGAGACCTCGCAAGCTTCTGTACTTGGCCATTGGTAAGTTTGTTTAAACCGGAATGTCCTAACGTAAATTAGAAATTAATGTCAAGAAAATGTATGTTACCATTTCAAAATCGCTGCAAATGATCAGACAAAAAAAAAAAAGGCACCAGTTTCTGGTTTTCTGTGTTATACTCAGAGTTCTACATTTACAGTACAAGAAATTAGAAACTTGAAAAATAACATGTCAACTTTCCTGCAGATGGAGTAGCTCCTCGAGCCAAGACGTTTCTGCAAAGGTCTGTCAAATTTAGTGCGGCTAAGTTAGCTGAACTTATCGTGAGTTTTTTTTTTAAAAAAAAAATTTAAACTGTGCCTTTATGCTTCAAGGTTATATATATATAAATACCAATGCTATATGCGCAATGCAGGAGGAAGAAAAAGACAGATTAAGGGATGAATTTGAAAGGGAAGGGAAACGAGTTCTTCCAAAAGGGAAAATTGAGCTATATACCTCAAATATCAACCCAGGGACGAAATTTATGCATATATTGTCCAGCAGGCTCAAAGGCTATATTCAATTAAGGATGAACAATGATCCGGACTGGAAGGATATTCAGGTTTGATCTAAATAAGCATGGATGTTCCTCATATAGCCTTAACTTTTCTTCTTTACTGATCAAGCATGCATGTTCCTTATATAGCCTCAACTTTTCTTCTTGATTGATCTCTTGAGTATGATATCTCATTACTCTGTATGTAATTATTTTAATCAGGTTATTCTTTCTGATGTAAATGTTCCTGGTGAAGGGGAACATAAGATAATGAATTTTATACGAATCCAACGTAGTCTTCCTGGCTACAATTGCAACACAAAGCACTGCCTTTATGGTCCAGTGAGCATCTTTCTGTAGTTTTTCATTTTTCTTGCAAATTTTGCTTGATTTCTATTCATCATTTCAATTTATATACCACTAAAGTATAATTGGTTTTGGCCTGTAGGATGCAGACCTTATAATGCTTGCTTTAGCAACACATGAAGTCCACATTTCAATTCTAAGGGAGGTGAATACCAGAATATCTCTATTTTTATTTTTTTCTAAGATTGAGTTTTAGTACAACAGGAAATGTTGAACTCATACTCTACATTACAATGTCATTAGGATTTTATCAGTCAAAAACATCAAGCAATCTTCCAATCAGCCCCAGAAACAATTTCTCAAGCAGCAGAATCATCTCTTCCAGAATCAAGAGATAACGAGGAATGTGAATCATCTAACAGCACTGAGGTTAAAAAGCCTTTTGAGGTATATGGATTCTTTGGTTTTAGCATCTTTTCGACAATTTCTAGAAAAATTACCCAGTTCTACTTATTGTCTATGACCGTTGTTTATGCTTGCAGTTTTTACATATTTGGATCCTAAGAAAGTACTTAGAGCTTGAAATGAACATATCAGATCAACCTCAAACTGCTAGGATGGATCCTGAACAATTACTTGATGTGGAGCTGGAATTGAACAGAAGAAAATCAGACCCTCCAAAAACTCTTAAGATGGATCTTGAACAAATCATTGATGATTTTATATTTATGTGCTTTTTTGTGGGAAATGATTTTCTGCCAAAGATGCCAACCCTGGAAGTTCGTGAGGTTTGTTTACTGGCTCATAGTTTTTGCCAAGAGAAAAAAGGTGGATAGGAACACAAATGGTCTTTTATACTTTCTTCTTTTTTTTTTTTTGCAGGGCTGTATAGATTTGTTAATTTATGTTTACAAGAATCATTTCACTGAGCTTGGTGGATATTTGGTTGATATGCAGAGGGTAATAATACAAAAATGATCTATTTTAAATTAATCATCATGTACTGCAAACAGGTCTTCTAATGGTGCTATCTCACAAGCAGGTTGGAGACATTAATTTAGGATTCATCAACTTAGAGAGAGTTGAAAAGTTTATTATTATGGTTGGAACTTATGAGGAAAAAATTTTCAAGAAAAGATCAGACCTGCATGTACACAAAGTTCGGAGACTTCTTGAATGTGCAGAGGTTGTAAGTGCCAATAATATTTGAAATTACAGTAGAGCTTGTATTCATGCATGATACTAATGCTTAAATGTTTTAACCAGAGAGACAGCAGGGAAAATGTATGTTCCCAGTCTAATAGCAGCAGCTCTTCTCCCCCTTCCAATGGAAAATCCCCAACTTCCTTAGCTGAGGCAGCTGTCTCAGATGGAAATGCAACGTCTTCAAGCAGAATGTGCCACAGTTTACCTGATGATGAAAACGAAGTGTGTTGTTACAAACAAAGCTAAAGATACACAGTTTACCTCCAACTACCTGTGTTTAATTAGATCCCTTTCTTTTGTCTTGCAGATTTTGAGAAACACTCAAGACTTGAAAGAGAAGTCAGAGCAAAATGTTGAGAAAAGATTTGATCTTCTGAATGATAGTTATCTGGAATCAGACAAAGTATAAAAACTTACTTTAAATATCATACAAATTTATTCTTCATTATACTTTTTCATAGCTTGATTATCTCTTTAATAGGTAAAATTGGGCTTTCCTGGCTGGAGAGAAAGATATTACAAAGAAAAGTTTTCTGCTGAAACCCCAGATAAGATTGAAACCATTAGAAAAGAAATTGTATGTGTAGCTAAAACAATAAACACTTTACTTCTATTTCTCTATAACATTTTAAAAAGAAATAGTATGTTTTCCTGGAAAATTTAAATTGAATTTGCAATGTATACTTGAAGGTTCACGAGTACACCGAGGGACTGATATGGCTACTTCTATACTATTTCTCTGAAGTACCATCGTGGTCCTGGTAATTGATGTTACTTTCCTAGACATACAAGCATCAACTCGTTTCTCATTTCTTATACCAGTAGAGAGCTGAATGATCAATGATGAATAATAATGTCAGGTTTTATCCATATCACTATGGTCCCTTTGCATCAGACCTGAAGGGGCTTGCACAAGTCAAAGTCAAGTTCGGGAAAGGTCGTCCTTTTAAGCCCTTTGAACAGCTCTTGGGAATCTTGTCACCAATAAGGTTAACTTGTTTCCCTTTATGATGGCATCTACAATAGTTGATGTGATGATGTAATGAAATTCAAGTTTTATCTTATTATGCAGTGCTCATCTCCTTCCAAAACCTTTTGCAAGACTCATGAAAGATGAGAATTCGAGCATAATTGACTTCTACCCCAATGGTAAGCCTTGTTTTTCTCGAATATCAATTGTTTATTCCATTGTATACCAGCCTCATTGTACTGTTTGCCTGTTTTTTGAACAGATTTTGAAATTGATACAGATGGAAAGCGCTTTGCATGGCAGGTTTGCTTATTTCTGATTGTCCTTGTATTCATACATGATGAATTTGCCTCGTTTTTTGTTCAACTTACATCCTTTACAATGCAAATTGTTTTCTAAAGGGAATATGCAAGCTTCCGTTCATAGATGAAGAGCGCCTTTTGTCTGAGACCAGAAGACTAGAGAAGGAATTGACGGTATATGACATCTATTTTTTCTTTTCAATCAATATAGGACATCTTATTTGATTCAACAGAAATCATCAATAATGTTTTCTCTTTTTTTTTTTTTGATTCATATCAACAATGTATTAAGTCTGGCTTTCTTTTTCTTTCCATTTTGTAGAAGGATGAAGAAGAAAGAAATTCAGAAAAAGTTGATCTACTCTTTGTGGGGAGATCAAGCAATTCTGCATTTCAAATCCCAAACTTGGTCTCCAGGGACCAAAATGAAATGATGAAAGTAGATGCCACTTTGAGGTCTGTCAATGACTGAAAAACAATATTTGTTATGTTTTGGTTTTTATGATCCTTTTTGTACAATGATACTGATCTTTGAACCGGTTCATTGAATTACCATCACAGTGGTGGAATTGGTGGATTCATAAGAATATGTGATGATGATTTTTCTAAGGTCAATTCTTCACATCTGGAAGAAATGAACATCATGTAAGCCAAATTGATATTACTGTTTCAAATAATGAGATACAAGTTCCTTGTTTCCTGTCGGTTCTCATATTGTCTCAATTTTCTTCAGAGTTCTGTGGTTTAAGCTTCCTACTGAATGCTTGCATCTTCCTCGTCCTCTAGAAGGGGTGCAATATCCAGAAATGGTATGTTATGCTCTTAGGTTAAATACTTGAAACATGTTTTCTTTGAAGACAATAGAAAAAGAAATGTAGAAAAAGAAAAAAACAAAAAAACATAGATAAAAACGGGGCATCTCTATTTTCTACTTGGTACAGGATTGACTTTTTGGTGAAATTAATACATGTGATGATTATCTTTGAGCAGAACACAACTGAACTTTTGATAGAAGTAACTCCGCTGTGGCATGAATGCTTTCGAAGGAAGCCCTATACCCGGTACGTTAATTTTCTTATGTTAATTCGGATTTCATTACCTGCTTTGGCTTTTCTCCCTTTTTGTTTTAGCCTCAATGGAGTTAGTGGGTGGCAAATTGCAGAACATCAAGCCAGGAAACATATAGAAGAGCAAATGGTAGCTCAAATTTTGCTTGGAGCTCTAGTTCTAGTTTGGTTCAAAATCGCAGGACCAAGATGTTCACATCAGACAAGAGCCCTGAGATTCATAAGTTTGCTGGATCAGGGTGGGGGGGTTCAGGTAGGGGAAGAACTGATCCCAACTTCGGAGAACAAACAGGACAGCATTCCCCAAGAATGCATGTCAGGGGTCCAGCTATTGGTGGAGGTCCAAACTGGGATCCTCAAAATCCAAATGCTCACCCTTCTAAGCCAAGTAGTGAGGGAACTTTAAACAATCATGCAGATGAGTCGAAAGTAGGCAGCGGTATGGAGCAGCTGAAAGTAGAAGAGTCAAGCTACAGCTTCAGGCCGAATTTTGGACAAGGTCATTTAGCATTGAGAAATGTTGTCTCATCGGCAGCAGCTGGCTCAAAACAGAGACTGCAGTTTACTCAGAAGCAGGTCTTACAAGGAAATGAAAATCCATCCAGTGACAGTATGGGACGAGGTCAGTGGGACAAAGAAGATGATTGCAATCGAAGAAGAAACAAAACTAATTCTTTCTTTGGAAACCACTGCCCGTGGTAGTTACGGTTGGAAGTAAATAAGCATCAGATTTTGTTTCTAGAAATATACGAATATGAAGTTGAACTGCACAAAACACTAACCATTGGCTGGGGTGGACTCATAATGTTGAGAGTCCTTCCCCATTCAATGACTATATTTTACCATCTGGTTCATAAAACAGGAAATCACATATTATGTATGGAAGTATGTACATGTATATGTTTAACGTGTCTGTATATCATGTGTGAAGTTAAGTATGTATTTTATAATAAGTTTGAGTGTGTTTTAATTAGTACTGCGGCCTTGATTCCTCTACTTGTCCCAGCAAAAGAAGATCTCCATTGATAAAATTGAAAGTAAATGAAAAAAAAAAAAAATTTGAAGGAATGTTTTGAAAACCGAGCCGGAGGTCAAACCGTTTTGATCTCCGGTTCGCGGTTTGACCGGTTTAACCGGTTTAACCGTTCAAAACGCCGGTTTAACCGGATATGAATAAATA